CTAAATGAAAGACTTGTTATTACCCATTTGAACTTGCTTCATGGGATCTCCAATCACACAAGTTGGGTTCCCATCCCCATTTGTTTCAAAGTGACACAAGTCCCATTTCCTTAGATGTTTCGGTTATCAATTTTCGTCCTAGGGCTTTTGTCAAAGGATCCGCTAAATTTCCTTGTGACCTCACAAAATTAATGGACACAATTCCATTCTTCAATAACCGTTTAATGACTTTATGTCTTAAACGAATGTGTCTATTCTTCCCATTATAACACATTTTCTTAGCAGTATATATTGCACTTCTGCAATCACAATGAATAGACACAGATGGTGTTGGTTTTGTACCAACCGGAATTTCTGCTAAGAATTTTTTCAACCACTCCGCTTCACTACTAGCCACTTCCAAAGCAATAAGCTCGGACTCCATAGTAGATCTAGAAATTATAGTTTGTTTGGTTGATTTCCATGTAATGACACCACCTCCAAGGGTGAATATATATCCAGTATTGGATTTTATCTCATCTGAGTCAGAGACCCAATTAGCATCGCTGTATCCCTCTAGTACAGCGGGTAACCCACTATAAAATATACCATAATTAATGGTACCTCTCAAATATCTAAGTAACCGCCTCAATGCGGTCCAATGATCCCCACTTGGATTATGAGTATATCGACTCAATCTTCCGACAGCATAAACTATGTCGGGCCTCGTATAATTCATCAAGTGTAATAGACTTCCAATAATTTGGGAATACTCATATTGAGCCTCGGGATCACCTCTATGTTTTTTCAATTGTATATGAGAGTCATAAAGGGTGCTCACGGGGCTGACATCGAAATGTCCAAACCTCTTTAGAAGTTTTTCAGCATAATGCTCTTGAGACAGTATAATACCATCATCCTTCCTTATGACTTTCATACCCAAAATCACTTTTGCTTCCCCCAAGTCTTTCATAACAAATTTTGAAGCAAGAAAGGATTTTGTCTCATTTATTAGCTCAAGGTTGCTACTAAAAATTAACATATCATCCACATATAAGCAAATAATAATGCACACACCATTTTCACATTTAGTGTATACACACTTATCTACTTCTAGTGAGGTAAAACCATGAGCAAATAATACTTCATCAAATTTTTCATTCCATTGTTTTGGAGCTTGTTTCAAACCATATAAAGATTTGATCAACTTACACACTTTGTGTTCCTGACCAATAACTACATGACCATCCGGTTGCACCATATAAATTTCTTCCTCTAGCTCACCATTTAAAAACGCAGTTTTAACATCCATTTGATGGACAAAAAGTTTGTGAATAGAAGCCAAGGCAATTAAAGTTCGAATGGAAGAAATACGTGTTACCGGTGCAAATGTATCAAAATAATCAACATCTTGTTTTTGAGAAAAACCTTTCGCCACAAGCCTCGCCTTATATTTATCAATTGAACCATCCGGGTTTAATTTCCTTTTAAAAATCCATTTGCATCCGATTGGTTTACAACCTTTTGGTAAATCGGTTAAAACCCAAGTTTTATTTTGTTTGATTGACTCAATTTCGTTTTGTATGGCCTCAAGTCAAAATGGAGCTTCTTTTGAAGAAATAGCTTGTGAATAAGTTAAAGGCTCATCGTTAACAAGATATGTATAAAAATCATTTCCAAAAGATTTTTCTATCCTTGGGCTCTTACTTCTTCTCAAAAGAGAAGATTCATCATTAAAAGTATCATTTTCTTTTAATGGATCACAATCACTAGAGGAATCATCATTAAAGGTTTCATTTCCTTGTAATGGATCATACTCACTATATGGTGCAATGGCCTTGTGTTCACGTTTCAAAGGAAACACATTTTCAAAAAATTCAGCATTTTTTGTTTCAACAATTGTATCACATTCAAGCACATCACTTTGCAAAACAAGGAATCTATAGGCAGCACTAGATTCTGCATAACCAATAAACATGCAATCAGAAGTCTTAGAACCAATTTTCCTCTTCTTAGGATCAGGCAATAAGACCTTAGCTAAACACCCCCACACTTTCAAATATTTCAAATTAGGTGCAAACATTTTCCACAATTCATAAGGGGTTTTCTTATTGTGCTTACGAGGAATCCTATTTTGTAAGTGACAAGAAGAAAGAATAGCCTCCCCCCAAAGATTATCAGGTGCACCGGAACTAATTAAAAGAGCATTCATCATCTCTTTTAGTGTCCTATTTTTTCTTTCAGCTATTCCATTAGATTCGGGTGAATATGGCGGAGTGACCTCATGAATTATCCCCTCTTTTTCACAAAATTCATTAAATAAAATATATTCACCCCCTCTATCCGATCTAACTCTCTTAATCTTTTTATTTAATTGATTTTCTACCTCAGATTTATACACCAAAAATTTATCAAAAGCCTCATCTTTATTTTTAAGCAAATAAACTTTAGTGTATCTAGAAAAATCATCTATAAAGGTGACATAATATTTTTTGCCACCTCTAGTGATGGTAGATTTTAAATCACCTAAATCCGTGTGAATTAAACTAAGCAATTCGGATTCTCTATATGTGGAGGGACAAGGTTTTTTGGTTAGTTTAGATTGAACACAAACATCACATTTTTCTAGTGTCATTTTATTTTTGCTAGAAATCAAATCACAATCATTTAGCATTTTAATATAAGAATTACTTGCATGTCCTAGTCTAGCATGCCACACATTGTAAGAATCAATTAAATAAACTGAAGCATTATCATGCAATATACTAAGCACAAAAAGTCCATTCTTACAATAGCCATTTCCCACAAGAATGTCATTTTTTGTCATAACAAAATTATCACAACCAAAAGAAACTTTAACCCCAACTTTTCCCAAGAGAGAAACGGAAACCAAATTAGTCCGAATCTCGGGCACACGCAACACATCATTTAGTGATAAAGTTTTCCCTGATGTGAGCTTCAGAAGAACTTTCCCTTTTCCATGCACCTTAACGGTTTTAGAGTCCGCTAGGTACATGAGCTCTTCACCATCTCCTAGAATAGTATAAGAGGTAGAAGCATTTTTGTTTTTACAAATATGCTTGGTAGCCCCGGAGTCTACCACTCACTCATTCACATCATTAGTTTCACAACTTTGAGAAACAACCGCAATAATATTATCATCACTACAAACCAAGTTTAAACTTGATTTGAGTGAGTTGTTGTTTTCCTTAGTTGTCATTTTACCACTAAATAAAAGAATAACATTTTTCTTAAAAAGTGGTGTTAAAGTATGGCTTATTGTAAGTAGGAAAATAAAGATAGTAAGCATTATACGTAGAGATATATCCAAATACCAGTCTAAATCGCACCACACATGTAAAAATAGCATAGCCGCGATGAGTGCGACGGCAACACTTTGTGAGATCATGCGTGCAGGCATATTCGACGCTAAATACTTTCTTGAGATTGTTGGTGGAATTCGGCCAGATAAACCTGCAAAAAAGCGTTAGAAAATAAAATAACTCGAGTCGCGTGAACGCTGTCCTCAAGAAAGTATTTTTGATTAGCTAAAACCTTTTCCCAAGATTAAACGAGCTCTTCGGCGTAAGCCGGTAACAGAACAACGAGAGTATAAAATATTAATCCAGCAGAGTTGTCATATATTAGGGGGATGTGTTTAGCTCAAAAAATAATCTCTTTTTTCAAGTAGCTAGCCGAACATATATTATATATATAAACTCAAAGAATCAAACGTTGCTGGCAGTACATTACTCCGCACTAACCCACCGTTGCTGCCAGCTGAACATTTATCCGTTACAACATTAGTAAGTGCATTTGATAATTTAATTGTTATTAAGAGAAGTTTTACTCCCATGTACGTTGATCATGCTAACTGCTAGAGAACAAATGCAATCATAAAATTAAGAATAAATGCAAGCAACCCATACTCTCTTTAGAAAGTAATTAGAAATAATAAAGCTTTATTCATTTGAAATACTCCCAATTTTTCCAACAGAACCGTGGCAAAAAAATTGATTCTTTTGTTTCAATAGGACTTTATGTTGTGATGTAACTCATGTTAAGGCAATTGTAAATGTAACTCGCGTTGATGGAAAATCTAACTTAGTTGTATGCAAAATGTAACTTGTTAAGGCAAGTGTAAATGTAACTCACGTATATGAAAATGTAACTCACGCATAAAAACGATGTAATTTACGCATAAGAAGATGTAACTTCACATATATATATATATATATATATATATATATATATATATATATATATATATATATATATATATATAATCAAATGTAAACAATGAAAACAAGGAATCTATTTTATGTGATTATAAAATACAATATACTTATTTTATGTGCATTAATAAAATTTTGTAATAAATTGGTAATAAAAAAATCTAGTTGTAATTTAATTAGTTAAAAATAAAGATAAGTAAAAAATTACAAATAAATCAGATATAACTCACACATAATTAGATGTAACTTGAGCATAAAAGTACGTAACTCGCACAAAAAAAGATGTAACTTACGCATAATAAGATGTAACTCACGCATAATAACATGTAACTCGAGCATAAGAAAATGCAACTTCGTATATTATCAAATGTAACTCCAAAAATAAAAATAAACAAACTCAATGTCTTAAAAACCTCTAAAAACAAACTCAATATTAACTTGAGATAAATAGAAAAGTAAATTACGTTAATAAAAATGTAAATTGAACCAAATCAAATTGTAAGTTGTATAATACGAAGTATATATATATACTCTATAAAATTTACTCCCTCCGTTCCCATTTTATCTTCCATTTCCCGTGCACACATAATTTAAGAAAAGTAAGTATTGTGTGGTGGAGAGTTGTGCAGAAGAGAGAGAGATGTGTAAAAAATGTTGTGAAACACAAATTGTTTACCAAAAAGGGAAAGTGGAAGTTTAATTCTCTTCAAATACTCCGTAGATGTATCAATTTAATGAGTGGGATGCTTCTTACTTTTGTTGGACGAGTAAATAGACAACAGCTGACCTCTCGGGACAAAAGGAGCCCGTCATCATCGTTGGTGAAACACAAGGGCATTGCGGCTGGATGGATCTCAATCCGGAATTCGATTCGGCAGGCAGGAACTGAATTTTTGGGCGCAGGGACAAAGTATACGTTGGACGGCTGGTGAAGAAGATGAATTTTTGTGGGCTCTGTTTTAATTACTAAGTAATATAAAACGCCGTCTTTTTTGGATCGGCACACCCCATGCACTATAATTTGCGATTTCAACACGATTGACGTGGTGACAACCATCTTGCGTGTCTGCAGACTGCGCCGTAAACCCCCCCTCCCTGCGAGCCATCACCGGCTACCGCGCGCAGCACACTGGCCCGCCGTCCTCCGCACCTGCACGCCGGAAATACTCTGGTTTCTGTCTTTCCGACTCGCTACTCAGACAGGTAAGCCTAAATTAAAAATTAAATTCCATATTATGTTCAAAATAGAAAAATTTCCAGATTCAATTGGTGAATTCTTGTGATATGTGCTTCAGAATAAATTTCAGTTTCCATTACTAATCTACGAGTGTTTGTTCAATTAGTAAATTGTAGTTTTCTGAAATTTCAATTAGTGAGATTTAAGAATTTGAATTTGTTTTTCCGGCTAAATATGCAAAGTTTATTTTCCTTTTTTAGTGTTTTGATACCTTATATTCATAGAATGCATCTGCCTAGTTTTTCAACCTCACTTTGTGCAAGGCATTTTCGTGCATAATTTAGAAAGTTTGCTAGCATAAATCAATTGTGTGATATGTAATTTGTGTTGAACGGTTGGGCAATTGGTAATGTGGTTGTGACTTGTGTCTAAAGATATTAATCCCATTGTTTAGTATTAATCAATCAACCCAATTAGCGTTAATATCATTGTGAAAATCAATCTCATTATTTAGATGTTAAGTGTTAAGTTAATAGTATTAATGTGATTGTGATTTGTGAGTACACTGTTACAATCTCATTGTGTAGTATTAATGCAATTTACTGTTGTTAGTATTAATCCTATTGTTCTAATATACTTGTGAGGACCTTTTTGCTAGTTTCTAACTTTGTATGACGTGGCGGATTGTTGTAGACTCGTAGAGTAAAAAAAAGCTAACGAAGGTTGGTCAAGAGATACTATAAGTATATTGAAGTAGAAGCTTCTGAAGATTTTTCAGTAACAATTGTAACGGCCACAAGCTTCAAATAGATTATTAAAAAACAGAAGAAAAACATCCTTGAAAAAGATATCTTTTTGAAAATTGCCAGTGATGTCATTATGAGGCGATATCATTCTATGAACCCGTAAAGAAGATATGAGTTTGTTAGGTGTTTTTCATATTTGACTTCAAATCTTCAATGAAAAGTCTTGATCGAACAATTATCAGGCGATATTATTGTTTTCATTCCCATGTGAAGTGTGAACATGTCAAACCTGGTAGAACTTCAAACTTGGTGGAACACTAAATTTGATTGACCTCAAACTTGGTCGACCAAGTTAGACCTGGCAGAATTTCAAACTTGATCAAGCTTCAAACTTTGTTAGACTCAACCTGATCAGTTTTTATTTTTTAAATTTAAATGTCACTAGTTTGTTTGAAGTTTTGAATAATTTCAATATTGCTATTATCTGAAAAAGAAAAAAGGTACTACTTTGATAATAGCTATCCTTCTTTCAGCCATTTTGATTCAAAATTCCCATTGTGTCGCCACCAAGAAGGCATGAACGATCAGCATTCTAACTCCAAAACAAACCTGGACAACAACAGATACAGCTCCGCCCGGACCTCCAAGAGACTGCTGTGGAGATGCATCAGCCTTGGTCATATTTTCTCTCTTAAAAACAGGGTAGAAGTGTAAGAACAAGGTGAAGTTGGTTCAAAAAATTTCTTAGGCGCTTAGAGAGTGGGGACCCATGTTTCAAGTAGAAGAGACTCTAAAGTTAGCTTAGCATCGGTCATTGGTGCAATCCTCTTTTCTGAAGGCCATCAATCGTAGGTATGGGTTCATCTTCCATTTCTTCTTCTATATATATATATTTTTTTCTTTTCCTTCTATATCTCAGGTAAAAGTTATATGCATTGTTAATCCAATACCCGGAACCAGAAGATAGGGGTTACCTGGACCGAAATATGAAAATGGTGTAGGGCCATAGTGATTGAAAACTGGGACCAAATTTTTAATATTTAAACAAATTTAGTACTATCTAAATTAATAAAATTTTCTGGAGAAACATTTCATAAAATTTACCATTAAATTAAATTTATAATAAATGAAATCAAAATATTTTACTCCGTATATATTAGTGTTTAATTTCCAGTTGCCGACCCCCTTCTCGTCTTTTTGTTCCTTGGCCCGCAGCTCCAGATCTCTGTCTAAACATAAGGTTTATTTTCTGTTATCTAGTTTAGGTTCATTATGAGTATCTACCTCATTCTATATATACCGTTAATTCTATTGGTGGTAAAGGATTTATGATAGAAATATGAGTGCATTCAACACTCTCTTAGTGCAGAATGAATTACTCAAGTGAAAGTAGATGAAGAATAACTGCAATGGAATAAGGAAAACACAATCAAATGTAAATTTAAGAAACAAGATAAAAGATTTGTCAATGAATAATTAGAAGCTTGTTCTGACTCATGCTCTCTAAAACTTGAGGAAGACATTCCAAAAAGAGCAACAGTAGATCTATCCATAAGCCACATAAAAGTGGACTAAATAACCATTTTAAGTGGACTAAATATCCACATAGATCTATCCATACACCTTATCATTTTAAGTGGACTAAAAGGCTATATTTCTGCAATTAAATAACTAAGTACAATCAAGTTTCTCCATTTCTTACATGTACAGAAAATCAAAACCTCTCTTTATGTTTGTTATTTATACCAATCTATGTTATGAATTATTAGCAATTACTCCGTGTTTTTTTTAAGTTCCTACTGGGGATTCGTAAAAGCATGACTTCCTATACAGAGTATTTGGAATATAAGGTGTGGTCTAAAGGTACATTAATATTTAATGTTATACCTTTTGAATTATTCTGGTCCAATGATTTGTGATGGGTTGTTCTACAGAAAGACTAGAGGGAGAAAGTCGGAACACACAAATAAATCTCTGGTTGCTTAAAACATTTGGCAAAAAACTGAAAAGGTATATTATTATTTTATCCATCAAGAAGGAAAAACATTCCAAACTAGTGAAAACATATGAAAGAGGTAAAAACATTTCATTTTATATTGAAAGAGTCCTTGCTCTTAGTACAGATGCAACATAAAGGAACACTTTTAGAGATGATACTCGGGCACAAATACAAAGACTATCTGACTTTATGACACTATATCGAAAGAGAACTTGGTCTTATTATAGATGTTGATTCTGTTGTAGATGATTTTTTCATTTCAAAGCCCTGAGAGGCCCTGACCCGTCTAGTGCAGTTCTATGTTATGCATTGGGATTCTTTGAGTCACGGGGGTTCATTTTCATTTCATTTCATTTTCATTTACCCCAGTGCCGCAAAGGCTTCCACCTACGGTGGGGTAAGGGGGGGTCGGATGTACGCAATCTTACCCCTGTACTAAAGCACAGAGAGATTGTTTCCGGATGACCCATAGTGAAAATCCCGTCCAAAATTGCATGGACTGACTGCTGCTTCATAACAAAGAAGCGCAAACAGTTTAGTGAGCCATTTTGCTTTATTCCATCATAATCTCAAGCCAAAAAATATTGAATCTTTGGCTCCATTGCAAATGATGGAACTTTGAGTCACGGGGGTGTGTTATTAAAATGATAAACAGGAAGGGGTCAGTGGAAATTTAGGTTTTTTTTCTCCTTTGGAATTTGAGGAGTTTTCTTTCTCCTTGATTCCTTTCTGTCTTGAATATTTTCTTCACATAGCAAATTTCCCTTTTATAATAAGTATTACATGCATTTGAATGCATAAAACAAGGAAAAGGGAAATCCTTGATAACTACTTCCTAAAATAGATAAGCTAACTTGGCTAAGTAAGGAATTAAAATCTAACTAGAATAAAATCAACCACCACCGCTCTTATCAATCTACTACCTGATGTTCACCTCTTTATAATCTTACAAATTGTTAAAATGTAGCATGCATCACTGTAGTAGAAAGTAGTTCTATTGACGTTTTGGTCATTCATATAATTTTATTAAATTAACATTTTCTGCCAAGTTCAACATAAGTTCCTAAGGCTTCCCTTGATGTATGCATTCTTGTGGTTTCTGACTGGTAAAAGCCACATAAACATTTTACCTTCTGTACTCAAATCCATGATGCTTCTTCCTCTATTTATGCGACATTAATTTTTCAAAATTCAAATCGAAGTGAATGTTCCAATTTTCTTGAAAATGAAACTTGACATATACAATGGAAAATGAAACCTAACATATAATGTGGAGAAAGAATGGGTAACTTCATTTTAAAAAATACAAATGACAAGGCAACACCAGTAGACTGCCCACCCAGTAAATCAATTTCTCTTTTCCAATTAGTGTCGCACCAAAATACACACTGAGTAATTTCTTAATTTCTTATATATCCCAACACAGCTTCATATACTTGCCAACAAGTTCAAGAATGAAAGTGACAGTGGATGCAGCAATACTCAAGTTCATCTTTCAAGAACCCACTTTCAGGCCTCTTCGGAGCTTGTACCATGTTCAAACTGTTAAGCCACATATATCTATTTCTTCATATTGGTATTTAGAAACATCAAATTGCAATCAAGTTTGGAGCTTGAGAACCCACTCATTGCAGCCAGCTTGTGGAGAGTTTCGTATGATTTTGGGGCCTATGTTAGCTGGAAAAAAGACCACCCTTCTGAACACAATAAGGCCTGATACCAGCACAGGCAGGTTAGGAAAACTTTCAACTTGTTGCTACATTTCAAATTCTGTCTATTTTTTGTCACATATTCGTATTGGGTGTAGTAAATCTTGGATTGGAGCTTTATGTTTGATTGGAATAGTTCATTTTAGAGGAATTATGGTGATTAAAAAACACTCGATATTGTTGAATGTTGAATTCATAGACATATGCATCTCCATTCATGTTCTTTGTATTGAGTTTGATATCTAAATTGAGTTTTTAGAGAAAAGAACGTCTTGTAACTTGCTAGCATTCTAATAAGAAATACAGAATATAGTTTTCAGTTTCTATTATTACAAAATTTTATATTATCCATATACGTTTATTTGTTGGAGCTTTATATTTGATTGGAAGTCGGTCTAGTGCCTAATTCATTAAGAAACAATCCACTACCCATGATATAATAGGAAAAGTTATCTGGTAATAGTATTCATCATCAGCATCATCATTACCCAGTGCCGCAAAGGCTCCCACCTACGGTGGGGTAAGGGGGGGTCGGATGTATGCAGCCTTACCCTTGTACTAAAGCACAAAGAGACTGTTTCCGGATGACCCATAATGAAAATCACGTTGAAAATTGCATGGACTGACTTCTGCTTCGTAACAAAGAAGCACAAACAGTTTAGTGAGCCATTTTGCTTTATTCCATCATACCCCCAAGCCAAAAAATAGTGAGTCTTTGGCTCCATCGGAAATGATGGAAATTATCCGGTAATAGTATTATAGTTATAGAGATAAAATGATGACTGATACATTATGTGGCTGGAAAGATCAAATTAAAATTGAGTTCTTGTTAATTACAAATTCATTTCTATCTTCATTGTTTGCTCTGTATTAGTGATACCTGTGGAAGCTATTATAGAAATAATTCAATGTATACCGGAGGAGTTTTTTTTGTTTATGAAAGAACATTGAGTAGTTATTGATTATATCCACAGTTTTCAGGGTGACATTCTAAAGAATCTGTACGGTTGGGATAAAACACTAAAAGAATTATGTTTCTCAGGAAGAGTGAGGGAAGCAATTGGGATATTGTGCCGCAACGGACTGCGAGTGGAGTCTGAAACATATTCCCTTCTTTTGCAGGAATGCATCTTTACGAAAGCATACAAGCAAGGGAGAAGAATTCACTCACAAATGGTTGTTGTCGGGTTTCTCCCAAACCAATACCTGACAATCAAACTGTTAATCCTGTATGCAAAGTCAGGAGATATGGATACTGCCCACAATATATTTGATAGGTTAAACTTTAAATGCCTCATCTCCTGGAATGCAATGATTGCAGGGTATGTGGAGTATAGAATGGAAGAAGTCGGCTTATGCCTTTATTACAAAATGAAACAACATGGCTTGAATCCCGACCAATACACTTTCTCATCGGTCTTTAGGGCATGTGCCTCTTTGTCTATTTTGGAACAGGGCAAGCAAGCACATGCTATGGTGATCAAAAGGAAAATATGTCGAAACCTAGTTGTTAATAGTGCCCTTATGGACATGTACTTCAAATGCAGTAGTCCATACGATGGCTATCTCGTGTTTGAGAAGTCATTGGAGAAGAATGTCATAACATGGACTACCCTGATTTGTGGATTTGGGCAGCATGGTAGGGTAGTGGAGGTGCTAGAGTCTTACCATAGAATGGTCAGTGAAGGTTTTAGACCCAACACTGTAACATTTCTTGCAGTTCTTTCTTCTTGTAGCCATGGAGGGTTAGTAGATGAAGGTAGAGAATATTTTTCTTCAATGACGAGAGATTATGGGCTTCAACCAAGTGGGAAACACTATTCGGCTATGGTTGACCTTTTCGGACGTGCAGGGAGGTTAGAAGAGGCTTATGAGTTTATTAAAAACTCACCCTATCAGGACCACCCTGTGTTATGGGGTGCTTTGCTTGGGGCTTGTAAGATTCATGGAAATATGGACATGCTTAAACTTGCTGCTATGAATTTCTTTGAGCTGGAACCGGAGAACGCCGGGAAGTACGTTGTCCTTTCTAATGCCTATGCCTCATTTGGTTTGTGGAACAATGTTGCAGAAGTCAGGAGAGTGATGAAAGAGTCGGGTGTTAAAAAGGAGACTGGTCATAGCATGATTGAGGTTCAAAGACAAGCACACTTCTTCTCTATGGGACATAATACTCATGCACAAACAGATTTGATATTTGAAGTGATTAGGGACTTGACTTACATTTTGAAGGACACAGGAGATGTACCAGAACTCAGAAGCTAAGGAGAAAGAAAGTTGTAGTTCACGTATTATCTTCTCCAGAACCCCCGCCCTGGCACCCCTTTCTGAGTGGCCTGGATTATGTTCTAGTAATGCATGAAATGCTTTTGCCATTAAGTTTTCTGGATCATTTTGCTCAATGTCATTTATATGGAAATCAAATTGCTGACCATAGTTATCTTGCATTCCTGTTAATATTGTTATTATTTTTGCTGTTATTATTAGTATTATTGTTGTTGTTGTTATTATTATTGTTATTAATATACTATTACTCCGCATTTTAAAGTTTGCCAGACTTTCCTTTTTGGGATGTACTTGAAAGTTTGCTACACTTTCCCCTTTTGGTAAGTTTTCCTTTAAAAATACTCAATTACTTTTATTTTTTCTACCTTTTTATCTTCTCTTTTAAACTTTTACACTCTTTTTCTACTCTATTCATTACCCCTTCTACTTTTTTTCTTAAATAATGTGCCAAAACCTATTGTAGCAATCATTAAAACAAGGAGGGAGTATTATTATTATTATGACTATTATGATTATTATTATTTTCATTATATAATAATTATTACTCCGTATTATTATATTATTATTAGTATTATTATTACTATCATCATCATCTTTATTACCACCACCACTACTACAGTACTACTTATTCCTCATTTCTTTGATCCGCAGGGGGTCTTGAGTATTAGATGTTGAGTGGTGGGGGTTTGGGAGGAAAAGAGGAAAATAAATGCAAAGTTCATATGTGAAAAGGGAGTATCCTTTTGAGGAAGACAAGTGATCACTTTATGATGATGCGGTGCAGTGGAAGATTAATTTTCATTGCGGTTACTGCACAAACAAATGAATGCTTGACCATTGGTTGATTTAGGGCTCGTTTGGTAACTCTCCCTTCAAGAAGCAACTCGATTGTTTGGAGCATTGGCCTAGGAATCGAGAGGATGTTGCCGCGAGAATAAATAGTTTTTGACTTGACAAGAAGCAACACCGGTAGAGATAGAGGTGTCGTCTGTTCAGCGTGACTCAGATCTCAGATCACACACTGCTGGCCAAGGTCATTTTTGGGCTTCATAACGCAACCTCTTTGAAATAAAGGGGTTTGAGGATAGAAATAACCAGCTGAAAACCACTATGAGAGCCACTTTAAGCAAGATCAGATCCTAGAGTTGGAGGTTTAAAAAGAGACTCGGCACCATGGAGTTGTATTCAAGAGGAATGTAACACACAACCAAGCTAGTGTTAAGAAGCTTTTATGAATGAGGTAACAATAAAGGGGATTTCATTTTTAATATGCACAATTTCAAAATCTTCTAAAGTTGTTTGTGCTAGTTTATAAGAATTCCTATAGAATTATAGATCATGCTCATGCTCATCACATTTTTCATGTGCACACGCTACCATATTACATACTTCCTCCGTTCCATAAAAGTTGCAACATTGGAATTTCTGCACTATTCACACACCTTACTTTGACTACGATTTTCTAATAATATCGTGGTGCATGATGTTTGCCGACGATATTGTATTGATTGATGAGACGCAATCATGTCTTAAAGCAAAGTTGGAAGTATGACGACAAACATTGGAGAATAAGGATTTCAAACTAAGTCGGAGCAAGACAGAGTACATGGAGTGCAAGTTTGGTGGAGGTAGAAGTAGTGGTAATAGCGGAATTACTCTGGATAGTAAGAAGATACCAGCCAGCGATATGTTCCGTTACTTGGGCTCCATAATTCAGAAGGACGGTGAGTTAGATGGAGATGTATCCCATAGAATCAGAACAGGGTGTATGAAGTGGAAGAGTGCGTCAGGATTTCTATGCGATCGAGGTTAGTTGTGGACTCGGTTCGGGCCGGCCCGGTTCGGGCCTAGAACCGGTTGGGCCTCGGTTCACGGAAAGCAGGCCCGGAACCGGCCCGGATAACCCCGGGTCCGATTCGGTTCGGGTCACCCACCCGGTTCACGGGCCGCCCGCCAGGCCGGGCCTTTTATTTTTTTTTTTATTATATATTATATTATTAGAATAATTCTTATTACAATTACAATATATTATATTCGAATTCAAGTATATTTATTTCAAATAAGAAGTACAATTGAGAATTAGGATGAATTTAAAAAATGTAATACATTTTGTAATAAAAAATCAATCGGAATCTCCGCCTTCGGTTGTTTCCTCCATAAAGTGGCGGGTGGGAGTGATGGTATTTTCTTGAGTTCTTCGTTGGGCCATCAACCAATCGTGAAAGCAAACTAGTGTCCCAAGAGAGCTCGGGCTCAACCTCGTTCTATAATCGCTTAGGACGTTGCCGGCCGCACTAAATTCTTGTTCCACGGCAACGGTTGATATCGGCATTGCTAGGACTTGCTTAGCCATCTTTGATAAAATCGGGAATGTTCTTTCATTTTCCTTCCACCACCTAAGAACGTCAAAGTCATCACCAAACCGGGCCCGGCCCGGATCGGGAATGTTTTTTTTTAAATTGTTACCGTTGAGGACCGGACCGGCCGGGCCGGTTCACTGAAATCTAGGCCCGGGATCGAACCGCTTGAAGACCGGGCCGGGTGACCCGAACCGGTCACTAACCGCCAAACCGGGCCGGTCCGGGCCCGCACAGTAGCGGGCCGGTCCGGTTCTGGGCCGGTTGGCCCGGCCCGAGTCCATCCCTAACCGAGGAATGCCGACTAGACTGAAGAGTAAATTTTATAGGACATCAATTAGGCCTGCATTACTGTATGGCGTAGAGTGTTGGGCGGTGAAACAATGTCACATTCAAAAGATGAGTGTGGCAGAGATGCGCATGCTGCGTTGGATGTGTGGGCATACTAGGAAGGACCGTGTGAGGAATGAGACAATCAGACAAAGGGTGAGAGTAGCACCTATTGAAGACAAGATGCGGGAGTCGCGCCTACGGTGGTTTGGTCATGTGCGTAGAAGACCGAGTGATGCACCTGTTAGGCGAGTTGAGATGTGTGGAGAAAAGGCAGGGAAGAGAGGGAGAGGAAGACCCAAACAGACGTGGTTAGGGGAGTTCGAAGTGATATGCTTCTTCTGGGGTTGGATGAGGGCATGACTTTGGAGAGAACTAAGTGGAGGGTGGGTATTCACGTGAAGGAGTGATCTTGATAATCTTTTTCCCTCATCTTTTTTTTCCTAGTTTTTTTATCCTTATATATAAGCATTATTTGCAGCTTTTTTATTTTATCATTTTTATATATATTCATCTTTTTTTATATTATCTTTTCATAATAGCTTATCTTTTTATCTTTATTCCTTCTTTTCCTTTTGGTTGTGATATCATGTATCGTATCATGTTAGCCGACCCCAATATCTTTTGGGACTAAGGCTTGGATGTTGTTGTTGTTGTATATATAATAAAAATATTATGTACTCCCTCCGTCCCTTAAAACATTGCCATCTTTCCTTTTTGGGACGTCCCAGAAAACTTTGGCAGTTTCCCTTTTAATCAATTATTTTGTGGTTTCTGTTATTTTTCTCTCCTCTGCACAAACCTCAACCGCACAGTTTTTACTTTATTATATTATTCTCCGTGCCGGTCAACTTTGGCAAAGTTTTAAGGGACGGAGGTAGTATAAAATATTAATAAATTTGTATTAGTGTAAATTTCCAATATATTAACTTTTTTTTTAATGTTTACTAATACGTAAATAAATATAATTACAGTCAAAGTTACGCGTTGGCAAAACGTGAAAGTTAAATTGTTGCGACTTGTATGAAACGAAGGATAGTATGTAGTATAATCATGATGATTTATACCTAAATCATCACTAGCATTACTCCCCTTGAAATTAGCATGATATATGACATTTCCCCTTTAATACTTAACATCACCATTAGTGAATTTGACATTGCTTATAATGACATTTCCCCTTGAGTATATGACATATAGGCAACCAAGATATACTGAATTAGTAAATTTGCACTGTAGCACTGCTAATGACTCAATCAGATTCAAAGAAACAGAAAAACCACAGCCCTTAAGTACATATGCACGGTGATTTTAATGGTTAACCAGTAGCAACAATGATTTTAAGAACAATTCTTAAAATGTAGTGTTTCTTCTATTTTGTAAGGTGTTGAATAAACTTAAAGGGGGGAACCATCAACTTTATTATATTAGTAATATACTAATATGGGTTAATTAAATATGGATGAGTGTCATGCAACAATGAACAGGTTGTCTTGGAAACGCTATGGTGGAAGGTGGCTCTGGTTCCAGATTACAAGTGAGACCACTAGACCAGTAAAAGCATTTTCCTCTTTGATATAAGCAATGTGTAAAATTATATCCGCCATATTATAAGCAATGTGTAAAATAGATTAACTTAAAATTCATACTTTGGTCCTTAAAAAGTAGTGGTAAAACAAAGAATGAAAAGCCACAAGCAGGGAAGAAGTGAAGAAGAAACCGGCAACGAAGAGAGAAAGTCGGGGGAGCAACAAGTGCAGGGATAATTCAGGATTCCGAGTTTCCGACAATCGTCCGAATAGAAACCACAAGTATTATAGGGTTACACGTCTTTATTAGTCCATTTTTTCAAGTTCAGGCTAATTCGGTATAGAAACACATTTGGAGTTGAATTGCCCAGGCCAAACGTAACCTAAAGAGGATAGGACCTGATACATTTTTTCTCACCACCTTTTGATTATATTGAAAATCAGTACTTCAAAATTTGCAATTTTTAGAGTTTATAAACTCGCACCTCATAAAGATTTGCAATGTTATTAATTCTATTCCTTTAAAGATCACAAGTCAGGACTCAGTTTATGTTCCCTTCGTGAGTTGAACAAAACTAAATTGTGTTTATAATGGACATAACGTATTAAAATACTAAATTAAAGAGAAAAAGGTCAAATAAGGCTTTCTACTATTATGAAATTGTCACATAAGGCCATGTACTCAATAAAGTGTCATATAAGTATATCTACTTCTAAAAAGCAATCAAATGAGTCCTAATGACCTATTTAACACCTCTTAATCCCGGTTTCAACGTACTTCTGACCATCTTTTTAGAATACATCATACGGCATATGTCGAATATTTAACCAAGATTGGTTGAAATACAAGTCAAAAAAATCAACATGTAACCTAAAATACGGATTAGGAGGTGTTAAATAAGCCGTCAGGATTCATTTGATTGCTTTATACAAGTAGAGGTACTTATATGACAC